AACAGGAGCAGAGATAAGGAACGGTAACATTTTCTAACAAGGGCTCAAAAGGGACTGGAATAAAGTAAAGATATTGCCTAACATAGCTCTAAAAGTCACTATCTAAAGGACGTGTCTGCGAGATAGGGACGTGAACGTCGTAAACATAGCCCAACGAGGGCTCAAAAGGGGCTGGAACAAAGACCCCCCCTAACGCAAACATAGCTTTTTCCAGGAACGGTAAGATTTTCTCACGAGCATAGCTTGCATATGGTCGAACATAGCCCCAGAAGTCACTATCTCAAGCATGCTTCCTCGAGATAGGGACTTGAACGAGGGCTCAAAATGGACTGGAATAAATTCAAGATTGCCTAACATAGCCCTAGAAGTCACTATGGTCACGGAACAGGCGCCGTTGGTAGAGTTCGTTGGAGTCAGAGTGTTTTTTCAAGTAATCGTGGTTGTGGGGTTAAAAGACTGCAGCCATTTTGCGGGTCGGGTAAGTGGTTAGAGATTCCGGAAGTGACACGATCTGGAACGGGTACTTGTGCTCTTGGAGCCAAGGGAGTCAGTATGAAAGGAATATAGCAGATTATAACATGTTCGGACACATGCAATGGAAACAGCGTTGGATAGTGTAAGGTTGATCGGTTGATCTTGGTAGAAGCTGGATACGAAACAGGTGTAGGTTGTAGAGTTCGTTTTAGTCACAGTGCTTCTTCAAGCAATCTTGTGCTCAAAGACTGCAGCCATGTTGGAATGGGTCTCATCAGGGCAGGGGATGACGCTGCAGATCGGGTTAATGTTCTGTATTCGGTAGTCAGCGTGCCTTTTCAAGCAATCGTGGCTGTTGAAGGGCCGCCACCACTGCCGGACGTATCACGATCGGGAATGGGTTCTTGTGCTCTTGGAGCCAAGGAATGCAGTATGAAACGAACATGGCAGACGATATCATGTTAGAATACATGCAATGGAAACAGCGTGGGATGGTTGATCATGGCAGGGTTCGTTTTAGTCACAGTGCCTTTTCAAACAATCTTGGGCTCAAAGACTGCAGCCATTTTGGTATGGGTCTCATCAAGGCAGGGGCTGACGCTGCAGATTGGGTCAATGGTCTGTAGGCGGTAGGGTGACACAGGAAATGGTCCTTATTTTGAAACGTTCGTGTAGCGTGCTTTTTCAAGCAATCGTGGCTGCTGAAGGGCCACTGCCGGATGTGTCACGATCGGGAACGGGTTCTTGTGCTCTTGGAGCCAAGGAATGCAGTATGAAACGAACAGAGCAGACGATAACACGTTTGAATACATGCAATATGGCAGAAGCCGGACACGAAACACGGGTATTGAAGTGTAGAGTTCGTTTTAGTCACAGTGCTTTTTCAAACAGTCTCGGGCATGGGTCTCATCAAGGCAGGGGATGACGTTGCAGATCGGGTCAATGGTCTGTAGGCGGTAGGGTGACGCAGGAAGTGGTGCTTATTTTGAAACGCAGGGATTTTTTCGGTTGGATACGTGAAACATTGCACGAAATCGGGGGACCTGTGGGCAGCTGCGTCTTTGTGATGCAGGTGTGGAATGGACCGAAGCAAGGCAGTCTAGGAGCGAAGATGTTTTGCTTTTGATTGTTGCAGGCAGTAACTTGTGCAGTAGTGATGTTTTGAAGCAGTCGAGGTGGGTTTTGCAGAATGCGAGTAGTGTAGAAGCAGAAGACCAGCGATATCGATGCAGCGAGTGATGCAGTTGGGCTCAACAGCTGAGGTAGAGGGTAAGGCAAAGAGAAAAAGATACATTCATTGTAGTGGAACTGCATTGTAGTGGAAGAGACCGTTCCTGAACCTGATCTCTGCTTATCTCTGCTCCTGTGGAGCCAAATATCCGGACATTCAAGTCCCTATCTCGCGGACACGTTCTTTAGATAGTGACTTCTAAAGCTATGTTAGGCAATATGGAAGCTATGTTCGGTCACGTTTGGGGGGGGGCTTTATTCCAGTCCCTTTTGAGCCCTCGTTGGGCGATGTTTACGACGTTCAAGTCGCTATCTCGCAGACACGTCCTTTAGATAGTGACTTCTAGGGCTATGTTAGGCAATCTCTTTACTTTATTCCAGTCCCTTTTGAGCCCTCGTTGGGCAATGTTTTGCGTTCAAGTCCCTATCTCGCAGACACGTCCGTTAGATAGTGACTTCTAGGGCTACGTTAGGCAATATGGAAGCTATGTTGAGCCACATTAGGGGAGCCTGTTCAGCCAAATGTCCGGCCTCAGTCCAATTACACTTTACCGCGCAGATGATTCGAATCATGCAAGGGAGGAAAATGGCATTTCTTGCGTCACCAGGGGCTTCAAAATAGCGCGAATTCATCTTCCAGCATGTTAAGCAGGTTCGGAAAACGTGAAAAACACAGGATTCTAGAGCGAAAATGGTCACCCCCCTAGCTAAAGCTATTGGCTTGCATATGCTAGCTTACGTATAGCGCGTGCCCTATAAAAACGCTTCGGCACCTTCGGTGCGGGCGGATTTGCGGGCGTCATCTTTACAACTGCGTCTTGAGTGGGATCTCCTGGAGAGGAAATAGAATGCAGGCAGGGACCTCTCAGTTGCTTGGGTGCGCCCTCGTTTGTGAAAAGGGTTAACAGGATGAAGAAGGGCGCCCCTCCGAGCTATACATGTCCAAGGGGGTCGGATTGTATGGATCAAAGTCTTTCCTATGACTGGTAATGGCGGGTGGGAGTTGATCCAGGCGTTGTGTATATCGGCTCCATCATATCGAGCCTCAATGCGAAACTCTGCGTCTCTCAGCCTTCTGCTTTCCTGTGGCTGAGAAGAGTACCAGCAGTTGCAAATGCAACTTCACCCTATGACAACAAGACCGCGCTCATAAAAACGGATGGGAACTATGCTGCAAATGCTCGATGTTATACAGCCACTAAACTTTCATCGGTCCACTCTTATGAGCGCCAACTTCCTGTTCCACCGCAGAGAAGCGGCGAGACCTCTAAGCTAAAAACACTCATAGAAACAGCGGCTCACAACTCAGCAGGACATTTCCAGGCTTCATCTTTACAACTACATATACTCACAGGTTTGTGAGTCCAGGTACAAGACAAACAGAATACAGGTAAACGCCCCTCGCCTCAGTTACTTAGGTGCCCTTTTTCGATGCAAAAACGGCCTTGAACACCCCACGAACTGTAAATGTCCTGCCCAGTTCAACCTTTGTCCGCACGCGTGGGCTCCACTTCTATCCTACAATCACAAACAGTGAATGGGCCTTGACCAAGGCCTTGTATATGAAGAGCCTATCATATCGACCGTCAATGCGAGACTTCGTGCCTCTCTGCCTTCTATTTCTCCGTCCCTGACAGCAGAAGAGGTCAGTGCAATGTGGACTTCACCCCATAACAAGAATGTTACGGAGGCTGGCGTTCGTCCCCTCCCTTCTCAGGTATATATATATATATGTGTGTGTGTGTGCTCGCATGTAGTGAAGTATCGGTATGACAAGTTTTTATATTTTCACAGTTCTTCTTGCATGCTGTCTCAGTACACACCCATACATTAATGCCCTTCTACGCCTACGCTACGCGACACTATGTTTTTGGCTTCGAATGGAGTGGGGTGGGGTGGGATGGGTTGAGATGTCGACGTTCGGTTCTAAGTGCCCACCCATACATCAGATTTTCTTCTACGCTTCGCGACAGTGTTCGATTGACTTTGCGTGGGGTGGGGTGGGGTGGGGTGGGGTGAGGTGGGATGTTAAGGTTCGGTTCTAAGTGCACACCCATACCAAAAAAATTGTCGAATGAACTTTGCAAAAGCGCAAAGCGGACTGGCTGAAGGAGAAGATGAAAAAGATGACCGCACTTGGTATCCCAAAAAAGTAGTGTTTGGATTTTCCAGAACGTAGAATTTCCAAGCACATCTTTGTAAATGCGCACAGCAATACAGCACCATTAGCATTTTGCCAGAGACAATGCTCATTTTGTGCTGTGGCGCAATAGGGGTCAGGCACCGTGTAGTCACAAAGCCGCGTCACAAAGTAGTAGCAGGTACACGGAAGTGATCCGCTTCCGCTTCCTAATTGGGGTCGTTGCAAAGAACTTCCTTGGGCAGACTTTTGCAAGTCCTCTTTTGGCCTTGATTATGATTATTCAACGGAGCCGGGCTCTGAGATCTCCTGCGTCCTTGTTACTAGAACCTTGCTTTCGTGGATACAGGTTATTACACCCCGCCCACCTCTTTTCACGCCCTAAGAGGAAAAACACAACAAGGGAGACATTCCAAAAAAAAGGACCGCTTTTAAGGCTTTCACCCCGTGCAATAGCTAGCTCAAAATCAATGTTTGGTGAGTTTTGTTTCGTGCAGCCAACCGCAACAAACAGATCATTTGATTCACTACCTTTGTCTAAACCTTTGGTTCTGATTGCCACCAAACGACACCTTGTTTTGGTAGATTCTTCAATCATCATCAACTTGATTAAGGCATTGCGCAATTTTCTTGAGTTGATAGGCTTTGGTAGCAATCTGATCGCGCACTAAGGAACCTCGGCTCCGTAAAGGGCCAGCCGAGTCGCGGGAGGGGCACAAAAAGGTCCATGAGCTCCTTGGCCTCTGAACTCTGAGTCTATTTGCTTCTAGTTGGCCTCCAACCTGCTATATAGCAATGGCCTCCAACCTAGTAGCGATGGCTCTCCAACCTACTAGCGATGGCCTCTAACCTAATACTCCCATTGTTGCAGCGCCTTTCTCGACCTGATGGGATTGATGCCTTGGTGGCTCCAGGGGCTACACAATGAGAAAGTCAAGAGCCTGTAAGCACTCTTCAGTTTCAATTCTTACGCAGCGGAAGCCCCAAACATACTGGATATAACGTAGAACTCATAGAACAAACTATGCGCGGCCTGGCTTCAGCAGGAAGAAGTGCAACTAAAACAACAATGCAAACTGGAGTGATCAGAGAACGAGATTGCACCAAAGGATAATAACCTCCTCGCATTCGCATGGTACCAGAAGCAAAGGGTAGACTTAGTTTGACAGATGTGACAGTTGTGCAACATGCGCCTGCTGCCATGTCTCATCCTATCTGTCATTACCGCTTTCACAACTCGCCAAGATGCCCAGAGCTAGATCAGAGTTTAGATGGTTGCAGTGCTTTTCTGTTTTCTCCTTTGAATCCAATGCTGTTGCCGTTTTGGTTCTACACGTTTCTACAAGATTGGAAGCAAGAAGGCAGCAGCATTGGGCGGCTGAGGATGCTCGGGAAATTCTTTCTTCTTCTTATGTTTTCTTTGTTGTCCTCCCTCCCTCCCTCCCTCCCTCCCTTGCTTGGTTTTGAGGCACGTGGTTGGCTCCTGCATCTCCAGAGGCTGGCGACGAGGTAAAATGCCAGTGTTCGGAAGCCTTCTCGCAAGAGTTCCTAGAATCCCCACAATCTGTTCCAAACAAGACGTTTATTATTGAGAGATTGCAGGCTCAACATCAAGTGCGATTAGGCGCAGTGGGGACGGCAAGATCGCAGAACTAGCAGAAACAGTACAATGCCGGTTAGCTGCGGTACTGCTGTACTGATCTCTTAGTGCCAAGACTTATGGGTCTTTCAATGTCAAGGCAGTCGAGCTTCCTATGCTGCCAGCTGACATTGCATTTCAAATAAAGTTCCGAGCGCATGAGAAAGAGACTTAAAAGAGTTTCGTCGGAAAGTTGGGTGGAGAGTGAATTGAGTAAATCAGCTTATTGACCCAGGGAGCTTTTTGATCCAGCATATTCAGGCCGACGAAGAGTGACGGCGTTGGTTTCTGCCGGAGCAGGTATCCAAGGGCAAGTGTCAATGCTTTTCTCTGGCACATTGTCAGTTTTAGCAGAATTAATGTTTTGTTGGAATCCTTGGTTATTCTAACAGACTCCATGTAGCTCAACATGTCGTTCAGCTTGTCGCAGAAGGCGAAGGGTCAGCAGTTGGGTAGACATGCTGTGACTGCCATGATGTGCAACTGGGCAGGGCTGTCGAGTTCTGCAGAGGCGAAGGACCTTTTGGTGGAAGAGTCAGCAATCTCAGAGGTTTCAGAGGCGACAAGAAGCTACTAGAAACAAGTGCATCGCTAGTAGTAACAAGTGCCACGCTAGTAGTAACAAGTGCCTTACTAGTAGTAACAAGAAGCCATTAGGAACAAGTGCAAGCTTTGAACTCTTTCGACTCCTTGAGGCCACTAATCTACTGCGGCGGTGGATTTTGTGCAGCTTTTCGTTTGGGTGCGGTTCTCACTGCAGGCTCTCTAATGTGTCATCGCTTTCGTGCTGTTGCGCCCAACACAATCACGCATTTCAGCTGAGAAGTTTGCGGCATCAAAGGTTATCACCCCGTTTCAGGTCTCTTGCAGTTGGCTGCAATCACATGTAATTGCAAAGGTATCTCGGTCAAGACTCAAGACCAAAACAAGACAACAGAGGTCTTTGCAGCTGTGCACTTCTCTGTTGTCTCATTCAAACTGCTTCTTTTTTCACCTTCAGTGGATGAGAGATTGCCAAAAAGGTCCAATGTATTGGGTCACTCTTTCCGCGAAAATACACTCCACTCCGACATATGCACACAACAAGTTGCACCAGAAAATGCTTGACATGTGCGACGCTGCAGAAATCGACTCAAGACTGAAGTACACGAGAGTGATACTTTTGAGGTTTGCAACCAAGTTAGTATGCTGTGATAAAGTACGATACATTTATCCAATAGACCATATTTGCTGCTCTGACCGAGAACCCTTCAAAATTAGTGAACCTAGAACAGAGGAAAAAACAGAATGAGGTGCAGAACCAGATAGGTTCCGGCGGAAGTGAAGCAGGGAAGTATTTTGAAACATGTATGAATAAGAAGCCAGCATCAAATATTTGGAATACAGTGCTTAGGATTGGATTGTCAAGGGCACATTGGCCACGCTGCATGTTTGTCTCAAAGCTCTTCCAATCATGTGGCGGCGCATCATAATCGCATGTTTGGCGCTGGGCGCGCTGCCTTGGAGCTTTCTTGCACCGAGGTTCGCGCTGCTCCTGTTATTGAAGAGGTGTATGCTTCATGCGTGTTTCTTTCCAGGGCACCATAATGTGAAGGGGTGTGCGAAGCTACTAAAGGCCAATACAGTAGATGCTTGAAGTGAGGATGCGGAACACTGGATTCTACTTTGTCGTTCACTCCTTTTTGCCAGCGAATGGCGGGTACCCGCGCTTCGCTGTTGCAAAGTAGTCTAGAATAGGAAAGTTAACACTGGTGATCCTTATTGCCCATAATGGCTACAATGCAGGCACACACACAGCCGGCCGGCCGGCCGGCCGGCCACAAACCACAGCCTCAACCGGCCGGCCGGCCAAAAACCACAGCGCCAGCCGGCCGGCCGGCCGGCGGGCCAAAAACCACGGCGTCAACAGGCCGGCCAGCCGGCCGCCCGCCCTAAAACCCCGGCGTCACCCGGCCGGCTGGCCCCATCGTTCCACCACTACCACTACGACTACGACTATGGCTACTGCTGCTGCTGCTGCTACTACTACTACTACTACATTCTACTACTACTCCTCCTCTACTACTACTAGTACGAATATTAATATAGCAGTAGTAGTAGTAGTACTTCTACTACTACTACTTCTACTTCTACTACTACTACGACTACGACTACGACGACGACGACTACTACTACTAACCGCTACTACTACTACTACTCCTGCTGCTACTACTACTACTGCCACCACTACTTTTTCTACTACTACTACTACTGCTACTACTACTACTACTACCAACTCTACTACCACTACTACTACTACTACTGCTGCTGCTGCTGCTACTACTACTACTACTACCGCTACTACCGCTACTACCGCTACTACTACTACTACTACTACTGCTGCTGCTGCCAGCAGCAGCAGCTGCTACCACTACTTTTGCTACTACTACTACTACTAGTAGTAGTACTACTACTACTACTAGTACTACTACTACTACTGCTGCTGCTGCTGCTACTACTACTACTACTGTACTACTACTACTACTACTACTACTACTACCACCACCACCACCACCACCACCACCACCACCACCACCACCACCAC